TTTTTTTTGCGTAATAACTTAACAACTTTTGAAGCATTAAAAATGCTTTCTATATTTTTTTCCTTTAGCAACTTTTCTGGTAGAAAAATGAATCTATTTGGTACTTTGGAGAATCAAAAGTAAAGATTTCGAAATAGCTTTCAATTTTGTCGAAAAAAAAAGAAATTAAAAAAAACGGAGATTTATAATCAAAACCAGTTTTCGATTTTGATTTTTGGAGTAACTATAAAATATAACCGTACCTACATATATCACCTTTTCGAAATATTTATATACATGATACAATTTTCGATTTTTGTTAGTTTTATATTGCTAATAAAAAAATTTCACTCGATCAAAAAAGTCGAACATTTAATAAACGGTTCCACCCAAGTTTTGTCAGTGAAATTTAAAAAAAAAAGTCAATAATAAATTCTCAATATTTTTTTATGAGCAAACTTAGAGTTTTAACAAAGATCACCAAAATCAAGACAATTTGCAAATTTATTTTAAGTTAGTGATTCACACGAGTTTTTTTATTTATATCTAAGATTTTAAAATCTAATATACGAAATTCCCATTGCCCATTTCTACCAATAAACTAAAAAAGGTATCGGAAAGTAAAATACATTGTTATTAATTAGCACTTGAAATTAAATTAACTCATATATTAACTCATTCCTTATTTTTTCAAAAACAAATTACAGTGTCGTATACGCCACGCAAAGGCTTGACGTATATAACAGATATATTTTCGGTTTCCAATTCTCTAACCTTCGAACAGGTAAATTATCGACACCTGCTGTATGAGTTTTATTTAAGTTCTTTTGGTGACCACGATAACGAGTGCTGCGCAAAAGATAATTAAATAGAAGTCCAACAGGATTTACTTTACTCYCGAACAACTGMCCACGATAACGAGWACTGRATGTTCGAGGGTGAGATATCTTAAAYCYAGACAAAGTTTTACTCTTTCTCGACTGACCACGATAACGAGTGCTGGACGAGAAAATAAGTACTACAGTGTCTTACTACCTGTTTTTAAAAGTGTTATTCACCACAACGTCTCGTGTTCACTCGTAAGATAAAATATTCTAAAAAAGGAGTAAAGAAAAACAGTGA